TGAGGAGGTGTCATAATTGTCCTGCTGTTCCTCTAGTGGAAGTCCACCACTGAAACCTTCCCATAACTGGCAGGCATTTCTCCCCAACAGAAAAGCCGTACAACATATGACCCTCTCTTCCATACAGCCATACATGACAAAAAGAAGTTTGAGAAGAGAGGAAAACAACCATTAATTTACTGTATAACCAGCTTTTTCTAGGGTTATAAAGGATTCAAAGCATCTTACGTACACTATATAAGCACATCTGTAAAAGAAAAATTGTCCAAAAGAAAGAAAATGTAAATTACATAAAAACTGCTACATTAAAGTGTCAACATTATACAGTACAACATCTCTATTATTCTACTTCATAAACTTTGATCAAATGCAAAAATCTTAATCTTTTCTCTAAGGATTTATAGCAAGTTGAAATGGAAATTCCACAAATAGCATAGTGAAAAAGCACTTCTTTTATACTTTTACAGATCCCACAGAATATGATTTGAGAGCTAAAACAAGTTGCCTGCCTGAGGCTCGGGGAGCAGAGGGGCTCCAGTCACAGGACAATTCAGCATTTAAGCTGTGCTCAAAAGAATGAAGGTAGTTAGTAAAATAAGGGGACTTCTATTTTTTTTTTCAAACTGGAATGATTTGAACAGGCTTTCCCCATGTGATCAGTTGTTTTGTCCTCCAAAAGGACAAGAAACATGAATGTGGATGGTATTCTGGTGACCTACTAAGTTGTGTGTGATGTTTTGGATAGCAGGATCACTTACCTCCACAATCTTTCTCCCTAGTCATATCAAAGCATTTTTCAATATTTTTAAACAAACTACCAAGTTTAGCACGAGATCACCTCTACAGAGGAAAAAAGGGGAGATTAAAATCAATGTGAAACAGAAGCAACTGTGATGAACTGCAGCAGACCACTATGTCTCCACAGTATGTGCATATACATTATGAAGAATTCTGGAAAATCATCCCTTTTCCCCAGCATCATGCAACACTTAGAACAGCCACCAGCTTTACAATCAACAATAAAAGGAGAGCAGGGGATTGGCAGAGAGTGGGGTCAAAGGAAGGGAGGTGTAGGCTGTGGTGCAGATAAATCTGCTTCAGCTAAAGGGGCCAGCATGGACAATCCTCATTTTCCATGTGATCACTTGACCCAAACAGAAGCCTAAAATAGGCTATGAATCAAGCTGCAGCAAAGCCTGATTCAGCTTGCCAGTATAATCACAGCCTAAGTAAGGCTGGTCTCATACACTCCTTCTGCTTTGTCCCTTTTCCCTGCACTAAGCTACAGTACGGCATTCTGCACCAACTGAAGCTTTAAAAAGCTTGAACAAAATTTACAGATAACTGATTGCATAGATTACAAAAACATCCATAACTACAGCCTTGGCCTCCAGATATAGCTAGCATGAAAACATTTTACTGGTCACAGCCAACATCAGAGGTCAGAAGTATTATGAAAGGATTATATAAAACGTAGTGAAGTGTGTGTTATTAGCTTTTGTGGATTGATGTACAAAGCACTTTGACTGTTCAATTCTATCTTTGTCTGCTCAGATGTAAGTGTGGCTACAGTACTGTAACTTCAATGGTCTTTATATGTATTCCTGCATACTTTTATAATTCATTTAAAATATACCCTTTGTTTTTCTTTACTCCTTTATCCACCCTATTTTTCCTCACCACATTTAATACTCTGCTAAAAACATTCTCCTCTTAAAAATGTCCATCTTCTGATTAGTGTAGAATCTGCATGTAGCTTCTGCAGTCACTTGCCATTTTATTGATACTTTAAAGACTAACAAGTTTTATTTGATATAGACTTTCACAGGCTATAAACCACTTCTGAATTGGAAGAAGTGGCTTATATAGTACACAAAAAACTATGCTTAATAAAGGCACAATACCACTTATTATTTTTGACAATGACAATTTGACAATTTAAGACAATGTTAAGATTAACTAAATTTATAAAAGTAGCCAAGGTGGGGGAGACTTCACAGCATTTCTTTTCAAAGTATTGGCAGTCAAGGAAAAGAAGGTTTCAGACAAATAACCAACAGAAAAGAAGAGAACGTAAAGAAAGAATATCTATATATGTTGGTTGTTGTAGGTTTTTCAGGCTCTTTGGCAATGTTCTAGGTTTTTCGGTCAAACAGACTGAAAAACCTACAAGCATTGGATCCTGGCTGTGAAAGCTTTCAAGAATACAATAGCTATATACTTTGTCAAGTATGTGTTATATAGCTGTAGCTTTCAATATACTGTGTACACGGTAGCCATTTTCTGTTTTGTTTTACTTTGAATGCATTTACTCACTGAACAGAAACACGTGCCTATACTGGGAGTGTACTACATGTCAGAGCTCTTGACACTGATTTAGGTAGCAGCTGTTCTCTGTTAATTGCATTGAAAAGATACAGAAACTAGTGTAGGCACAATCAAAAGCTTTTTATATACATCAGAGAAACTTCTTTGAAGACATTTAAACATCCCAAGAGAATCACAGCTACATTAAAAAAAAGTTCAGAAAAATCGAAGAGCAGCAAACCCTCACTGATGAGGATCTTGATGATAGGAGCCTGGTGTTTTGTGAATCCAGAACTTTTGTTATTTGACTGCAAATAAATATGTGGATGGTCAGATATTAAAATAGCTATGCCCTCCAAAGCAACATTACAACTGCACTACAGCAGATGGTAGAAAGAAGCCATGAAAAGCCATTCCTAAGCTCCTTAATACCTCATTCCTTCTCTCTCCAAGATATGACAAGTATTTATTGAACTATTTCATTATTAGAATGCACAATAATTATAGTCCATTAGCAATTTAACAGTTGTACATGAAATATTCCTATTGTTCTTTCCAGAAACTACACAAAATTCCTCCACTCACGAAGAAAATAAGAGAGATTTTGAATATGCAAACTAATAATTATTTGAAATGTAAGTCTTTGGTGCTGGACTCTAATTTTATGGTAGCAACTTATACCTTCACAAACACAATTAAATTTTTCAGTTCATCTTTCTACATTTGAAATGACTGTTCTCTTAGAGAATATTTAGGGAAGGGAATATTTAGAGCTATTCTGAGCATCTGTCCCACAGCTATAGAACTGAGTGTCTCTGAAGATTCAACAAAGTCCAGTGATTTTCTCGAATTTCCTGACAGGGCCCTAGAAATTCATTTGAGTCTCTCGAGTGTTATTCTTCAAATCTGAATATTACTAACCTGCAGTGGACAAAGTGGACTGGTTATGCTAGTAAGCTAGGTTCCGGAGGGTTATACATAGCTGGCTGCTTCCTTGGAAGCCACCACATCCAGGTACCTTTAAATGGCAGCCCTCAAGAGGATCAACTCTATGCAGTTTTTGTCCTTCTCAGTGAATAAAGGCAAAGATTGCGCTAAGCAACTTAAGAAAGTGGCTGTCTGGAAAAGACCTCATTAAACCTAATCCAGTTTAGGGTGGGGAATACAAGAGGCAAGATCTCCTTTAGTCAAACTTTCATAGATACTATTGTTCATTGTAAATGTTCCAGGTGGAGTTGACTAGAATTTTTAAATGAACATTCTTTCAGTACGTCAGTGTATGTAACACTGTAACCAAATGTAACATTAGTAACCAAACATTATATATATCTGTATAATTATAAATATTTGTGTGTGTGTGTGTGTCTGTATACACACTCTGTGTGTGTGTGTGTGTGTGTGTGTGTAAAACACACACACACACACGTTTGGTTACTAATATATAGTAGTAACCAAACATTATAGAAGGCATTATCTATATGGCTGTGCAGCAAGCAGGGGGATGTCTCATTGCAAAATTTTAGGGAACTCTTTTCCAATCATAAGCCAGCTGTGCTCAAAGTCAAATCAAGTTCAACTGATTACAGCCTATAGTATGTCTACAGTATGAGCCTAACAGAGCAGCAGCTCCACCATCCCTTGATTACGCATTTTGTAATTTTCCAGCTGAACAGCAATTCAAGTCAAAAGCGAGTAAGATCAACCACAAGCACTTCCTGCGAGGCATAGCAAATGCACACAGGCACACTTACACTGACATTTATATATGTATGCTCATCATTTCTATATGGAAAGGGAGAAGATCCAGGGGCTGTGGGGTAACATAGGATCTCCCTGAAGGGACATACAGGTGCTGTGAGACTAAGTTATTGGTTGAGCTCAGCAAGGAGTGTCTGGAACTGTGTTGTATCTCCTTGCTCTCCCAGATGACCTTGGTTAGCCATCCACAGGGGGAGCAGGTCCAGGAAGAACGGCTGCAGCTGTGTCCAATAGCAATGCTCAGCCCCAGCCCAGAGAGACAGATGTGTGATCCAGCATGGGGCCAAGAGCAGCATCAGCATCACATGCACGCTCAGCACAAAGGTGGGACGGAAGGTGGGAACACTTCAAAATTCCTGTTTCTTTCCCCAACACACACCCCTCCAGCAACTCCAGTGCCTGCCTGCTGCAGTCCCCTAATGGTCCAGGCTTTTATCCGTCTCTGCTTCCGCTCTTCTCAAGCTTCTCCCTTCGACTACACCTCCCCACACCTCAAGGCAACTGCGTCAGCCGGCGAACCCCCCCCTCCCCACCTTTTTACTTCAAAAACCCCCATCCATGTCTGCCCCCCCCACACACAGACGCATCCCTCACCTACTTCTCCATCCGTGCCTCCTCACCCCACCTCTCCTGCCAGCACACCGCCCTGCTGAACCACGAGCCCCTCTCCACCAGCCGCCAGCTGGCGGTCTTCCCACCTCTTTCTCCTCTTCGTGGCCCTCGGCTTCCCCTCCTTTCAACCCAAGCCCACCCGCCCCGGCCCCGAGCGAGTCCCTCGCCTCCTCACCGCAGGCTAACCGCCCTTCCCGGTGAACCTGCGCCGCAGCTTCTCAGCCATTCCTTTCCCCCCCCCCCCATGTCACAGAAGGGAGGGCGGGGAGGCACCGTCGTTATCCGTTTAGCCGCGCGGCTGCCGCGAGGCCTGCTCTTCTTACCTGTCAAAAGGAGGCCGCGTCCTCCCCTCGTTCACGCAACTCCGCTCAGCCTCAAGCAAGCCCGGCCAGTTCCGCATCAACAACGCGGGGAGGAGCGAACCAACAATCAGGAGGACGGCGGGGAGGAGGCCGTGAAGAACGAACCATTCAGCCACTGGAAGGGGAAGGAACGGATGAAGAAAATCGCGCCAAGCCGCGGAGAGGCGCTGTGGAGTCACCGCCAAGGCCTCGGGCGAGCACCACGGCCAGCGCCTCCTTGGGCTCACGGGACGTAGGCCGGGCGGAAGCTCTGGCCTAGCCACTCCCCTGAGGGGTTGTGGTGGTTATCAAACCCCCACCCCGGGCCCTGCCTAGAGACCATGTGCTGTTGAAAAAATCTGTGATGAAAAATAAAAGTGGGACATGCAAGGAATAATTGGATCCTTAAACGGTGTGGCAAATGAAAGTTTTCCATGCTGAAAGCAATCTCCCTCAGTGTTAGCACACATTGGTAATGAGGGTATTTGACCAAGGACGTCATGCACAGTCAGCAGTGACTTTTGAAATCAAATCCCTTTTAAAAGTAATCAGGAAGCAATAGGTATAAAATCAGCCATATCTCTTCCAATTGACTGCCCTGTTCTGAAATAAAGACAAAATAGAGATTCCAAATTCCTTTCAAAATACAAATTTCCAAGAGGGTAGTCTTGATAGTCCGTTGCCTCAAAAAGAACAGACTCATGTAGAATTGTAAATGTTTAATGAGTCAGGGAACGTTTAATGGAACTTAGCCACTGCCCTCAAGTTGCCTCCCACCCTGGCTGCCAGATGGGTGGTATATAAACCAAATAAATCAATAATGAGTGATCTGTCTTCAGCAGCCCTGCTCAGCTCTTGTAAACTCAATACTATAGCTTCCTTTAGGTCATATTTGGTCTACCTCATGCTGCCTTCTACCTTTCCCTGCATTAGAGAATTCTTCATTCTCATGATGTGCCCAAAGCAGGACAGCCTCAGTTTTGCCACTTTTGCCTCAAGATATACTTCAGGTTTGATTTGCTCTAGGACCCACGTGATCATCTTGATGACAGTCCAGGGTATCTGCAAATCTCTTCCCCAGCACATTTCAAACAAATCAATTTTTTTCATTTCAGCTTTCTTTACTGTTCAGCTTTTGCACAGTGATCAAGAGTACAATAGTGTGTATTATCTTGGTTTCCAGTGATACATCCTTACATTGATCTTTTCTAATTCCTTCATTGATGCTCCTCTGAGTCTCAGTCGTCTTCTGATTGAACAAGGTAGACAAAACATTTAAATTATTTCAATTTCTTCATTATCAAAATTAAAGTTGTATAGATCTGCAGTACTTGTAATCATAATTTTGGTTTTCTTAATGTTCAGCTGAAGTCCTGCTTTGGCACATTCTTCTTTCACTTGTACTAAAATCATTTCAAGTTATTGCTGCTTTCTGCCAGTAAGATTGTGTCATGTGCATATCTTAAATTATTCATGTGTTTCCATCAATTTTCATTCTTTCTTCATCTAGTCTGGCTTTCCTTGTGATATGTTTTGTATACAGATTGAACAGATAAGGAGATAAAATGCACTCTTGTCTGACACCTCTGTCTATGGTAAACCATTCTGTCTCTCCATATTCTGGCCTGACGGTGGCTTTTTGTCTACAATATAGGTCAGGACAATGAAGTGCTGAGGCACAGCTATTTCTTTCAGAACAACCCATAATTTCTCATGATCTATAAAGCCAAAGGCTTTGCTGTAGTCTACAAAGCATAGACTGACCTTCTGAAATTCTTTTGTGCACTCTAGTAACCAGCAGATAATGCAATATGATCTCAAGTGCCTCTTCCTTTTTGGAATCCACCTTGACATCAAGCATTTCTCACTTTGTACAAGATAAAAGCCTTTATTGCAACACCTTGAGCATCACTTTCCTTGTCTGGGAAATTAAAGCAATGGTCCTATAGTTACTCCATTCCTTGGTGTCTCCTTTCTTAGGAACTGGAATGCATATTCAACACTTCCAGTCTGTGGACCATTGTTTTGTTTTCCATAATTGTTCGCATATTCTTCCTAGGATTTTGACAAATTCAGTCTCTGTGGCTTCAAATAGTACTATTGGTATCCCACCTATATCTGGTGGTTTCAGAGCAGCTTTTACTTCACTTTCTAGAATTGCAGGTTCTTCATCATAGGATTCCTCTTCAAAGGAATCTGTTGTCCTTTAATCTCTTCTGTATATGTTTTAATTATAGTATTTCCACATTCACTCTATTTTTCCCAGTCATATAGTGTGCACAATTTGCAATAAATTGATTGTTGGCTTTGCAGAACTCTGTGACTCATTCTCCTCCTTCACTCCTATCCCAAGACTAAATTTTCCAACATTATACAGTATTCTGTTTCGTTTCCTACTTTTTCATTTTGGTCACTTATCATTCTAAGCATGTCCTGTTTTGTTGTGTGAACAATTTCCTCCTGGATGTTTGTATAAAAACTTTCAATGTCACCATCTTCAGCATTTGTATTTGGAGCATAGACTTGAAGAATGATTTTACTGGTAGGTTTCCCACAGAGTCTGATATTATTCAATCAGCCTTTATATTATAGCCCCTAACTGCATGTGCTACATCTTGCCTCAATATTAAAGCCATCCCATTTCTTCAGAGTTTGATATTTCTAAAGTAGAAGTTTGTAGCTATCAGACTGAATAACCTGTTCCAGTCCATTTTAGTTCACTAACACCAAGCACTACAATGTTTATGCATTCCATTTCTTGCTTTAGTTTCCAATTTTTCTTGAGTCATACTTCTCACATTCCATGTTCTAATTGTATGTGTTGTGCAGCATCAGACTTTCGTTTCCCTTCTGTGCACAGCAGCCACTAGACATTCCTTTGGCTTTAATCTAGAATGTATCATTAGCTACAATGCTATTTATCCTTGTCCTTTGCTCTTCCCCAGTAGCTACCATGGTTAGCTACCATATTTTCCCTTTCAAAATAAAGACATACACCATAAAAATGCAGTACTTCATAATAAGTAGGATCTCTATTTTGTCCCATCCTTCAGCCACTCACCATAAAAAAGGCAAAACAACACAATACAACCTTTTATTTGGGCACAATTCAATCTTCGGCAACCCAACAATCCAATATTCTGTTCCAAGTGAATGCAACTCATGCAACGTATGCTTAGGCATTTTGTATATGGATTTAAGCATCTTCCAAAAGTTTTGTAACATGATTGCAAGTACTCTGGATTAACTGGAGGAATAGGGGGTTAAAGAGAATAGATTACTGTGCTTTTGGGGCACAGAAAGGACTACAAAAAGGGTGGAAGATGAAAGGGGGTGGAAAGAAGTTTAGAAGGGGTGGAGATGGAAAGGGGAAGGAAAGGAGTGAAAAAGGTCTATGCTTCATGAATAAATAGTTACTGAAATCTTCCTTAGAAGCCCTTTCTAGCATGCATTTATGAATCAGATTATGAATCATAGAAGGAATAGGGGAGCGGGAGGGAGATTGGGATGGATCTGTTGGTAGGTGGGGCTTGTTAGCCTTGGAAGGCAGGCCATCTAGGAGAAAGAAAACTCCGATTTCAAACCTCAATTGCCTTGTGGCTATATCCACCGATGGAAAAGGCTTCAAGAGTTAACCTTGAGGCAAAATCCAGAGCCAGAGTCCCAGAGGCAGTTCATGACGTTCTGGCAACTCCTGCAACATCACTGGAACCAGTTGTATTCGCTCTTGCCTTTCCATTGGACTATTCCAGTGATGTGGAGAGGGGTTTTTTGCTGCTGGACTATTCCAGTGATGTGGAGAGGGGGGTTTTGCTGTGTGGGTAACAGTCTGTCCTCCATATTATTTTACCCATTTTTCATGCTCCAGATTTGCATACAGCATCAAAATAACACGGGAAGTAGCACTTACTGTCTTTGCTCAATTAGCATAGAGCATGATGCCAGGGGCTACTTCCGACAGTGAGAGAGATCATTGCACCTCACTAGGTAGCTACCGCCCACCTTAAGTTGGGCAGCCCCCAGCAAGTAAGGTGCTGCCTCGCATGGTCTGTTAACCTCACGGTGTGCATGGGGTTTAAGGTGAAAGACGACAAGCAGATTGATAACCTTGCACCATGCAATAATCATAAGAAAACTTCTGCCCTAAAGTTGGGCACCTGGACATTGACCCCTGGCTTTTCTGACAACCTGCAGGAAATAGGCAACGCACACAAGACAGCTGTCATTACCATGGAACTGAGTAGGCTGGAGATGGACAATGTTGCCCTGCAAGAGACAAGATTGCCAGACTCTGGATCTGTCGAAGAAAAAAAATTCTAATTCTTCTGGAAGGGAAAACCATTGAATGAGACCAGGAAATATGGCGTTAGTTTTGTGGTTAGAAATACTCTGCTGAGATCCATTGTTCCACCTACTGCGGGGAGTGAAAGAATTCTGTCTCTGCAGCTCTACTCATCAGCAGGACCGGTCACCCTCATTAATGCATATACACCAACACTGTTGTCTACAACAGAAGTCAAAGACAAATTCTATTATGATTTGGCAGCTATTATCAAAAAAAATCCCCGAGAGAGATCCACTGTTCATTCTCAGAGACTTTAACACTTGAGTTGGTGCTGGTAACAATTCTTGGCCCACTTCTCTAGGCTGCTTTGGCACTGGGAAGATGAACAAAAATGGCCAATCCTTGCTGGAGTTTTGCTGTTATTATGGCCTTTGTGTCAGCAACACATTTTTTAATATGAAGCTTCAACACAGAGTCTCTTGGAGACATCCAAGTTCGAAGCATTGGCATCAGCTCAATTTGATCCTCACTAGACGCTCTAGCCTTCCTAGTATTACGATCACACATAGTTATCAGGGCGCTGATTACGATACTGATCACTCCCTGGTGTGTAGCAGAGTCAAACTGCAAATAAAGCAGTCTTTTAATAACAAAAGAATAATACCAATACAAATGTACTTAAAAGTAAAAAAATCAGGAGACCAGGAAGTGAGCCAAGACCAATTCTGATTTTCATTATTAAAAGTGTAAAAACCCTAGTTCAGTCGACCTGGTTCTTTCAAATGAGGTTGGCTAAGTCATTGTGGTCAAGGTATCACACGAAAAAGGAAGGAAGACCACATATTGACATCAGCAAGACTCGCAACAAGAGAAAAGTAGAGGAATTTGCCCAAGTGCTTGAGGAAACTCTTCCAGGCCCAGGTGTTGCAAATGCACCTGAACAATAGGAACATTTCAAGAATGCTGTTTATAACACTGCCTTGTCCACATTTGACAAGAAGACGGTGCTTCTCGGATAGCTTGCCCCAGGGCAGCTTCTGCACAAGGAAGGGGCACTGCTCTCCTGTGAGGGGTGCTGGGGGAAGGTTTAGCACCAGCACAGCATGCCCCTCCACAGGTGCGACACACACCCCGGGCGGGGCGGGGGGGCAGATACCCGTGTCCGCGGCCCAGTTCCAGCAAGCCCACGGACTGGCACCGGGCCGCAGACCAGGGTTTGATGACCGCTGTTCTGTATGGAGAATCAGTGCAGGGAAAGTGCCCCAGAGGAAGACCACAGCTGTAATACAAGGATATTTGCAAGTGCGATCTGAAGAGGAGTGAACCATTGTATACTACATTTCACTGGGGAGAAGATTCTGTCTTTTTTACTTTTGGCTGCTTTATTCCACATTATGTATCAATGTAAAAATTTGTCAGCTTCTTTTATAATGCATCAGAAATCAACTCAGGACTAAACATTAGTACAGTATAAGAAAAATATAAACTAATTTGTTTATCCTTACTGTGACAACCTGTTCTACATCCAATATATATTTAAAGCTCCTGACTTGGAGCTGTAGGCTGCCTTTAGCATAGTTGTCACATCAACGTAAACATTATCGTGGTAAACTAACATATACAACAATTTCATAGATGTCATTTTAAAACCATAGACATTACCCCCCAAACGTACATAACAACTAAGATTATCAGAATCGTCCCAGCAATTATTTTCAAATTTGTAAATATCTTGGTGTCTACATATTTGCAATAATTAGCTCTGAAGTGTCACTCCAAAAGATAAGGACTTTGCCCTGGTGCACTGAAGATGGCTTTTCATGAGACAATTAAATCCTCTATTAGGTTTTATTCTTTTGCATTAACACAAACATATTGCCAAAAAAATTAGTTTAAAATACAGAATTAAATATAAGCATTTTGGCAAGTGCAAAGAGTTATAAAAACAGATTTTACAAATTCTTGCAAGTGCTTTATAAAGGCCAGTGGAAAGAGACTAACGTCAAGTGCAAAACAGACACAAGGCCAATACCTTAAATATGGCACTCACTACAGTGTCAACAATCATACTGATTGGTGGGCTCAGGCTGTCAGGATGCCTGCAGAAAAAGCCAGCTTAGATCCTCACAAAGGTATTTACATACTATGAATTAACCAGGAAATCTTACATTTAATTCCTGGCACCAAACATCCTGGCAGCTAAACTAGTGAGGTGTTTTCAAGTTGGTTTGGTAGATTTGAATCTACTGCTAGATTTCTGGGTGACCTGCTGAAGACTGGCAAAGATTTCTGACTCCTAATTATTTAACTACAGCAGTAACAAAGCAAGTCCTCTCTGCCCTCAACTATATTACTGAAATGAAGAATGCTTAGGGTAACAAGAGTGGATTTTTATATAGAAATATTAACTGTTTTGTTCTAACTAGATTTTGGGGCTCAAAATTATTTAGCTTTAATCATATATCTTTTGTACCAGGTTCTACTAAGTAGATCTCCAAGTTCTACCAAAAACCAAAAGCAGATCCCACAAGTCACATGTTTTCCCACCCCTACTCTTACAGCCTACTCCAAAACTAATTTAGGAATGGCTAAGGTATGTTCAGTTTTGCATAGCTTCAAACTGTAAACTCTTTATAGGTATAAATCAGACTGGGCCATTGCTAGATAACAACCTGACATGTTCAAGATAGAGACAAAATCACACATGTTTCAGAATAGCCGAGGGACCCTTCAAAATATTGACATACATTAACATTCTTATATGGCATAAGCAACTTACATTTTACTCCTTCCCAAAGATATCTGAGGGCAACACCAAGAGGAAATGTAACAAATCCCCAACTGAGTGTTTTTTGTGCAAGAAATAAGTTTTTGAGGAATAAGAAAAAGTGCTTAATCCTTCCTCTCTCCCCCAACTACATTTCCCTTATAACAATTCTCCAGATGCTTTCCCTTCCATATAGGGTTAAGACACATAATTACTTTGCAAACACACATCTGGAATCCCATGAGGGAAAAATGGCTGGATGAGGAAATTAACAGCAGCAAAGCAATAAACAGGAAAAGAATTAGGCAGTCTCCCTCCCCTTATTCTGTGCTCCAATCTGGCATTCTCAAACGGGTCCTTCAACAAAAGCAGCCACCAAGTTTTTATTACATAAGCTTCCATGTGATGTTTAGTTCTACCCACTGTGATTTGTGCAGTGTGCTGATGTATCCAATACTACTCCAGCATGCACAGTCACATGGACATACTCAATGTGCATGTGCATCAACACAGAGCCATACTATGGAATTAAACAAGGAGATTCAAGCATAAATACAAGGAATATCCCTGATCCTGACAGTCTAGATATGTTGGACTCCCCATGCTGACCTCTTTCATCCCCCATGACTAGAGGACTAAGACTGCCCTCCAACGTGCTGTTAATTACTTAAGAGTAAGTCCCATTGAACACAACAGATCCTGCTTTTTAGTAACCATGCCTAGTATTGAGTGCATGAATATATACTATTTGTACACATGATGTACACCTTCACATACAAAGCAGCTCCACGTGGTATGGAAAGGTAACTGAACATGGCTCCCTAGTGCATGTGTAATATACATATGAAGGGTCCTGATTTATAAATGAAAAATATACTTTGAAAGTTGGAAGGGAAAAATAAGGAAAGATTACAAGCAATTTATATTGAGGTTACCCTCTCAATCCATTTTCAAAAGTTAACAAAATGGCACTTATGGCTTCAGTTCACAGAAAGAAAAGATTCCTCCAAAAGTGAAGGAAATGCCACAAATGTTCTCTTTATATCCAGCTTTTTGCCATGATGATCAACATGCATGAGTCCAAGTAACTCTAATAAAGTTATACAATATAAATGACACAAGAGGTCTTGCTTCTGAAATGTCTGAGAAAGCCTTCTATGTGTCTGCATGGTCAGTCCTTCCAATTAAACATGGAGAAATTGCTCTGAAGAAGAAAACCAATGGATAAAATATTTGGGCACATCCATCATGTTGAAGTGTTTCAGATGTCCCATTTCTGGAAGACATCAAATGAAAGACTAAAACATCACCTAGTCCACCTCACTTGCCTTCTACATTGTTTCACTAGTGAAAACACAGGACCATAATCATCTGCTCTTCTTCAGTGTTTCAGAGAGAGGGAGGCTTGTTAGAAGGTAAATAATGGGGCTACTTCAGTGGATCATGGTCCTGAGACAGCGTGGTCATTCATTAACATCCCAAATCTCTGAAAGAAGTGGTGGCAACTTCTTGTCCTGTAACCGAAGAGCAAACACTTGTTCAGAATGAACACTACTTAGAGTCCGAAGACTGACCAGTTTCATTAACATCCGTGGGAACATTAGATGATCCTGTGGAGTAACAGAAAAAAGGACACCAATATCAGGCAGATTCAAAAATCAATTTCTCAGTCTCAGTTTTCCATTTGCAAAGTAAGACTCATAATGACTTTCTCTAAGTCTAATGATAGCAAAGAATTGTAGGCAGCAGAATGATTAATAATATTAATAATAATATTAAACCTGTTCTGCTTTTAACTTAATTTGTCATAGCCACAGTAACATCATGGCTGGCAACATTCTGTGATTTCCAATTCTATAAGATCTGCTCAGAACAAATTATGCAAATTGAATATATTTGCATAAAACAATTTTATGTAGTTTGCATAATGAATTCAAATCTTAGTATTTGAGAGTTCAGAAAGTATTTGTGGTACTGTTAAGAAGTAGGCTGTTAAATGGCAATAAAAGCAGCAAAAGGGTCTAGGAGGCAAAAAGACGAGAGTAAGTAACTAGGTAAGCACTACTGTATTATGAACTAGGAAGCCTGGGCAAGAACAGGACTATATCATTATAATGACTTAAAATCATGCTTAAAGATTCTCTTAGTTTCCAAAGCTTCAACCAGCACATTTTAAAATGTTATTTCCTACTCCCACTCTTTTAGCAACCTGGACTTTGGTTCACCAGCTATATTCAGCCCCTAGCATTTTGAGCTAAATGAAAGCTGGGCAGTTTCAGGCAATCTCTCAGTATGTATATACTGTATATTAGGTCTATAAGAAGGGCTTCCTGCCCCTTCTCTGTCTCTTTCATTCATAGCACCAAGCAAGCATTAATGAACTGGAAGAGGGAACCACAGAAGCTTTGCATTTAAAAGGTTATAAGAACAAAAGAGAAACCATGTGGATCAGACCAATGGCTTATGTAGTCTATTCACATTGGGGCCAATCAGTTGCCAATGCAGAGCCCTGCAGTAGGACATGAGTATGTATGCAACCCCATCTCATGTTCTCCAGCAACTCATGCACTGAAATGCACTGCCTCTCATTCTCAATGTGACATACAATCGTCTTAACTAGTAGTTGTTGAAGGCTGTGGCCTCCGTGGTCCCATAAATCAGGTAGCAGGACTGGAGAAAGAACTTGTCTAGGACCCTGCAGACTGGCTGCCCATCAGAGTAGTCATGGACTAAAAGGACCAATGGTCAGACTCAGAATTAGGCAACTGTCTAAGTAAATAACTACAGTGGTGCCTCGCTTAACGAGCGCACCGTATAACGACGAAATCGCATAGCGATCCGTTTTTTTGGATCGCTAATGCGATCGCTCAACGAGCTTTAGATAGGGAGAAATTCGCTTTGCGAAGATCGGTAAGCGTTTCGCTTACCGATCTTCGCAAAACGAAGCTCCGACGATCAGCTGTTTGGCGGACAAAATGGCCGCCGGAAGCCCCAAAATGGCCGCGTGCAGCGTTTTCGCGCCCTCCCCTCGCTTAACGAGGGCGCGAAAATGGCTGCCGGCCATAGGAAACCTCGCTGAACAGTGAGTAAAGGAGCCTTTGGGAACGCATTAAACGATGTTTAATGCGTTCCAATGGCTTTCCCTGTCCCGTTCAGCGATGTTTCGCTCTAGCGAAGGTTAATCCGGAACGGATTAACCTCGCTATGCGAGGCACCACTGTATTTGTTTAATTAGACTGGTCACACAGTCAACTAGACATGTTCAAACAACTTAAAAGGAAGAACAGTCACAATTTTCTCTTCATCAGAAAAGTGTTCCACAGACATACAGTATGGCAATACAATCATTCATAACATATTCCACTTACATTTGGTCTATGGATACAAATGTACGAATGAAGGGCCTCGACATAGGTATGCTGTAGCCTCTCCACTAGCAGCTGGTCTTGAACATTCGGCCGGTCTGTAAATAACCAGGTTAAAGTTTTATAAGGAGCTGAATGCAGATGGCTCAGACTGAACCACTGAAGTTAAACCCAGAACTTGGAGAAGTTACTTTTCTGGATTACAATGTCTGCTGGCAAACTCTTGGAACTGTAGTCTGAAAATGTAATGGATCAAAGCTCTGGTTAAACCTGCAAACTCGGTGTTATCCCTTATTCCGATAACAACCCATGCATCCTACATCTTAGAAACAACTTACAAAATTAACCACATTTTGCAGGAACTGATTTTCTCAATCTGTTGTGGCTGATCTGTGCTGAGAACCATTTTGTTAAGAAAAGTTAACATGACTCAGCCACAGCAAAGTACTCTTAAGCCCCACTAGTTTCAGTGAGAGAAACAAACTGCTGAGCAAGCTAATATGGCAAAGAGACTAAGAGACTTCAGAAGCTGCAAACCAAAATGTCCTGGCTTAAATTTTTCCTCAAGAGAGCTATGCCTTCAGATAAGTTACTCCCTCTCAGTTTCCTCTCCCTTATAATAGTAAGATAAATAAACCCAGCTTCACAAAGTAAGGTTGCTGTAAAGATTATGGTAGCAATGACAATATCTTTTATTTGTTTGGGAATAACAAAACTGAAATACCAATAAAAAATGAAATCGAAGAGCTATCGGAATTGTGAATGGCTTTGAACTTTGAAAGTTCTAAAATACTATTGTTGCTCTTAGTATTAATATTAACAAAATTGAGTTTTGTAGCATCTTAAAGACTACTACATTTTATTTGGTATTAAGTGTTCATAAACCGTAGTCTACAGTTTCAAAAAGTTGATTTTTGGGCAACAACTTCCAGAATCCGTGATCCAAAATTTTAATTTTCCAGGCTCTGCTGTGACCCATTTCACCGGGCTTGTGGAATACTGCTGGAGTATTATTAATTTAATTGTTACTTCATTCAGCTCTAGCTCCATTATTTTGTGTAGCAGCTGGCAAATATTTTTCTGTACACCAAACAATCAGGCAGACAAATAAGTCCCACCATGATAGCCCCCCACCCAAGACATTGTTTTCATGACTCTTAACAGTTCTGATACCCAGGGGTCTGTTTCTCAAAAGCAAATCAGACTGGTGTAATTCCATATCATGAGGAGACTCCTCCAAAGCTAAGCCACTCCACAAATTTTATGCAGGATCACTTCTCTTTTCATCATGACACAGAAACTTGTCAAGCTGTACTATACAGAATGGCAATCCCCAGAAGCCCATTCTAATCTGCTTTTGTCAGTCCTCTCCTGGAGTACTGTGTCCAGTTCTAGGCACCACAGTTTAAGAAGGATATTGAAAGCCTGGCATATGTCCAGAGTAAGGCAATCAGAGTAGTACAAGGTTTGGAAGCCAAGCCACTTAAGAAAAAATGAGAGAACTTGGCATATTTAGCCTGCAGAAAAGAAGGCTGAGAGGCATTATGACAGCCATCTTCCAGTTTTTGAAGGGCTATTACGTGGAAGATGGAGGAGTCTTCTTTTTTGCAGTTCAAAAGCACCAGACCAGAAGTAAGTTACAAGGAGATCTTAACTAAACATTATGAAGAATTCTCACAATAAAAGTGACTGTCTCAGATGGCAGTGGGCTCTTCTTCACTGGACATTTTTAAGTAGATGGCGACCTTTCAGGGATGCTTTCACTACAGTGGCAGTGGGCTGGCCTTGATGATTCTTGAGGTCCTTTCCAGCTCTACAATTCAGTGATTCTATGATCATCCACACATCACAGGGAAACAGGCTTACTGAGAATTTGCAAATATGCTAGTTCACATAGTTTTATCACCTCTCTGGCACCTAATCCCAGTGGTAGGGATTAGACAAACCAGTGAATCATTTGTGGTTTGTTTAGTGCTGGGTTTATTGTTTTCATGATGAACTTGAATCACAAATCAAGATTCTTGGCTTACAATACTGGCTTGCTAGGAGAACGACAAGACAGAGGTTGCAGTTCAGATGCTTTCTCTTTTATTTAGACACTTCTGCTGGCAGGAAGAGCCACACAAGAGCAACTGTGCAGTGAATACCCATGTGATTGCTTACTCAAGGTAAGCTGGCATCCTCTGCAATTCTGGATTACCATAAAATGTGAACCATCCTATTCCCTTCTTTTACATTGTTGTTGTTGTTTAGTCATTAAGTCTTGTCTGACTCTTTGTGACCCCATGGACCAGAGCATGCCAGGCCCCCCTGTCTTCCACTGCCTCCTGGAGTTTGGTCAAATTCATGTTGCTAGCTTCGATGACACTGTCCAACCATCTCGTCCCCTTTTCCTCTTGCCTTCACTCTTTCCCAACATCAGGGTCTTTTCCAGGGAGATTTCTGTTCTCATGAGATGGCCAAAGTGTTGAAGCCTCAGCTTCAGGACCTGTTCTTCGAGTGAGCACTCAGGGTTTATTTCCTTCAGAATGGATAAGTTTGATCTTCTTGCAGTCCAGGGGACTCTCAAGAGTCTCCTCCAGCACCACAATTCAAAAGCATCAATTCTTCAGCGGTCAGCCTTCTTTATGGTCCAGCTCTCACTTCCATACATCACTACTGGAAAAACCATAGCTTGGACTATGTGGACCTTAGTCGGCAAGGTGATGTCTCTGCTTTTTAAGATGCTGTCTAGGTTTGTCATCGCTTTCCTCCCAAGAAGCAGGTGTCTTTTAATTTCGTGGTTTCTGTAACCATCTGCAGTGATCATGGAACCCAAGAAAGTAAAATTTGTCAATGCTTCCATATCTTCCCCTTCTATTTGCCAGGAGGTGATGGGACCAGTGGCCATGATCTTAGTTTTTTTGAAGTTGAGCTTCAGACCATTTTTTGCGCTTTCCTCTTTCACCCTCATTAAGAGGTTCTTTATTTCCTTCTCACTTTCTGCCATCAGAATGGTATCATCTACATATCTGAGGCTGTAGGAACAAGCAGAAATTAATGCCCTTCCTTCATTTTACTCTCAGTGGGCTCCTTCAGAACCTGGGACATTTGCAAGTTATATATGTCTGACACTGTCACAAACTGGTATTGCAGCTCCAGCCCTGTAAGTTAGAGCAGGCTGCAAAATATGCTCTGTTGAGCAACTGGTCACACATTCCACTCCACAAATAGAGGGCTACAAGGCATGCAACAGCAAACCAGCAAACTTTCTTCCATTGTTTGCATGACTGCTGTTATGCAATCATATAAAGCAACAGATTCTGGCCTGTGTATTTGCTAAAATACCAAGAGAAAACTTCAGAAATGTTGTTGTTGTTCTTCCAGGCCATTATGTCCCATCTGATTTCGATCAACCCTAATACGGTTTTCTAGGCATGTGAAATATACTGTATGTATGTGCTTTTTCTAAATAAGAGGTTTTGTGATCCTACACATGCACAGAGAGAGAGAGAGAGAGAGAGAGAGAGAGCTTTTCAGTCTTTGTTTCAGCACAGATGTTTTCCATAGCCATTCTTACCCGCAGAAAAAATGTTGATAGCAATTAGAAGAGCATATTCAGCATCATTGAGCTGCAGCTCATTCATTCCCTTTGAAAACCCAAAGATGGGGTTAATGAACTCAAACTGAAGGCCTGAAAGAAAAAGACCAAAAAAAAGGAGGATTAAAAATAGGAAATGATTTGACATAATTGAAATCACAAGGAGAAGAGACACTGAAAGAAAGCATTTGAAATGGGTCCCTGTTCCGAATTTAAAAGAGGCTTATTTAGGAACACAGAGACTGTCCATTGATATTTTAGTCCACTTTATATTCCTGCCATTGTGCCTACTTTGTCCAGAAGCAATTCCAGTAGCCTGGAATTCTATGATTCCATGATCTTTCAAAGCCTGCTCCACCCATGCCATGCTCCCGGTCCTCCCCATCCCCATTCCTATTGGAGCTCCAGCTTTAGAAGCACCAGGGACTTGTATATAGGGTAGGGAGGGGGAGTTTCTACATGGCCATCTCCTCCAATGCCATCTCAGACACCATACAATTGCACCACTAAGATCTACGTTATCTTATTTCTATCTTCCATTTCCAAAGTAATATAGTGTGAGGAATGGATATAAGAGCCTATATTATAAATAGGGGACAGAGAAAAATATACAACAGAAAATGTGCAGAGTCATTTGAAAAATGCACAGAATCTGATTTTATTTTTAAAACAGCAGCTTAAAAAAATCATAGCGGCAATGGGCCCGAAAACATGTAAGCGGTACAAGAGTACAATGCTGAGCTATCTCAGCAGTTTTTCTATTTCTCCTTTCTCCTTGACTTCCAGGAATGTCACCATTCCAAGCCATTTCTCCCGACTCATAATCCCTGCCTATACTCCCCATGTAATCCTAGAAAAATAAAATAATGAAATTGGAAGGGGCCTATATGGCCATTGGGTCCAACCCCCTGCTCAAGGCAGGAATACCAATCAAAGGCTATATCTTCCAACACCCCACTTTGCCAAACTTATGCATCAGGTCTGTATCATGTATTGTGTACACGTGTTATCTGGCCATACTGAAGAAGAAAAAACTGTCTGATACTCAAAACTCTGTTTTGCTTACCAGCTTTTGCAAAGTCATCCCGATTATAACTAAAATCCTTCAAAAAAGTGATGCATTCTGTTTCTGGATTGTAGTGTCGAGATGTCTCCAACAGCATCACCTTAAGGAAGAGAAGCAGAAGAAGTCATTCAAGTCTTGTCACTATGAGATCTCCAAAAGACCCCATAGCAAGTCGAATAAAAATTCACTCTCTGCACCTACAACCCCTGTTTTCAATAAGAAAGGAAACAAGGCTTGGCTCTGAAGAAGCACTCATGAAAATGCCAACTGACTTCATTACTGGGTAACAAGAAACATAAGTTTCCATTTCTTAACTAAGCAATAATTTACTGCTGAGTTTTGTGCCACTGAATTTAATGATGGCATAAGTAAGAAGCAGCATGCTGGCCATTTCCACACAGAGGAGATGAGGGAAAGCAAAGCCCCTTTCTGCCAACCTCCTTTTGGGGGCACCTCTTAAAACTGAAACCAATGTTCTCCGCTGCAGACGTAACTCAGATTCAATCTTGGTCCCATCTTCTCTTATCTCTGCAATGAAACTGCCTGGAATGTGAATTGGGACAGCCCACTACTCCAGAACTATCCTCACCAGCCTCCCCTATTGGGGAAACACAGGTGATGGGACGGATGAACAGGTAAGGGATCAAACCTGCCTTCGTAAGAGCCCTTATTAGGAAATCTGGCAACTTTCCAAAAGACACCAATTCCAGGTTGGACCATATAGCAGGGTGTTCATGTGTACAGATCCTCTCCTGCTCACTGACCCTAAAACCTGCTCTGTCACAACCTCAGATTAGTATAACCACTGACTTTTTAATGGGTGTTATGCAAGTGAAAGACAGCTGTATGAAAAAGAGAAAGGGGGGCAGACTGACTAAAATTGTCACTGACAATAGTGTCCTGACATTCATTGACAAGAATGCCAGAGAGTAGGTCTTACCTCTATTGTGGATGTCTTCAGGAGAGCAATCTGATCTTCCCTGGTGAGCTCCAGGAAACCTGGCAAGTGCTTAGCAAAGTCCACTATCTCCTGCACAGAAATGATTGCAAGCTCTGTGAAATGAGCAAAGCGCTGCTGTCGTGCTTCACGGTGAAGGGGATCTGAGACTTGGGGCCATGGCTGCAATTTGGCATTGGTAAGTCATGAGGAAAGAAGGGAGAAAGACTTCAGTGATGAAAGAAAAGAAAAGCATAAACAGTCAAATAAATGGTAATGAAATTGTAAACTGAGAAAATTATGTACTGAGGGAACTGATGATGAAACGCTTGTGTACACTCAATACTTTAAATTTATTTATTAATAATAATAATATCCCGCCTATCTGATCAATTACGACCACTCTTGTCCCATCAACCCATAAAATTCTCTCCTGTTCAGCACATGAGTTATCCCACAACAGGAGTGGGGGGAAAACATAATCCTCCAGCACTGTAAATCCAGGGGAGTCACACTGCACCCTTGGCCCAATAAAGGTGCCGTTAGCTTTGCTAGGCTCATTAAATCTCTGATTCCACCGCCTATCTGATCAATTACGACCACTCTTGTCCCATCAACCCATAAAATTCTCTCCTGTTCAGCACATGAGTTATCCCACAACAGGAGTGGGGGGAAAACATAATCCTCCAGCACTGTAAATCCAGGGGAGTCACACTGCACCCTTGGCCCAATAAAGGTGCCGTTAGCTTTGCTAGGCTCATTAAATCTCTGATTCCAGCCACCATGAAGGAAAGACAAGCTCTTTTCCAAATCTGCTAGTCTAGCTCTGAGTCCTTGAGGTATCAACATCAGGAGAAGCATTAAAAGGGAACACCATCTTTGTTAAGTACGCACAGAGCTTGGGAAAGGTACTTCTGGAGAAGCACTAGGACTCAGAAAACTCACCAGCAAGCATGGTTACTTCATGGAGTAAGCAACCTTCTGAATTACTTAATATGGGATACCAATGGCTGGGTGACTGAATTTTTGTGTTTGGTGGCATCTTCCAAAAAAAGCGCAATTTTTCCAAGGTCCAATCATGCAATACGAGTACCACCCCAAAACGTTGAGCAACATGCTAACTGTAGTGAAAGGGAGTGTCTACTGATGTCAAGTAGCGGTCTCTTGACTCCTACTTTTAGATTGCAACCCACATGAATTGTGCTGTTACCGTCACTTTGAGCCTGTCTGAGAAGGAGCGCCGGTTAGACTGCTGCTGTGCTGCCACCAGTTTTTCTATCATGTCAAGCTGCTCAGGGGTCATTTTGTGAGGTGGGGTTGAAGGAGAAGGTGCATTTTGGGGCACAACCACCACCCGAGCCTGGTCATCTTCCTGCTTCTTCAGCTTCTTCAGCTGGATTTGCTCTTCAGAGAGAACACCTAGCAGGGGACCATAGAAGAAGAAGCAATGAGAAGACAGGCAACATACAAAGGTTCATAATAACGCCAGAGATAGTGGGAGCCGTAAATACGCAGTTCAGACCTTGAAGGCTGGAAACACCATCTCTCAGCGCTTCTTTGTGATTCCACATGTAATGTGAGCACGCACATCAAATATACCTTATCAACAGCCTTTCCTCTTTTTTTTAGTATATCTCCTGCACAAGCTGTTCATGTTTCATTCACCAAGATAAGTCCACAGTACAAACCCTAGTCTCCTGAAAATCTTGGTTCCCTTCCACCCACCCTTTTCTTTTATCTACCATTAAAACCAATTTATAGAACTCTTAACTGGGGAGAAAATAGTTTCAAAATGTGTTTATAGTTGTCTAAAGCCTCTAAATCTCTAAAATTCATGAGATCCCTTTATATGTGTCAAATGAACTTCATGCATCCTAGCGATTATCTGCTTGTTGCCAGCCTCCCACCTCAGTTTCCCTCTATTTGCAAAAATATTCTGAATTCAGTGATGATTCAAATATTATAACTGAAATAATCTTTTCACTTTTGTTTTTGTTGTTGTTGCGTGCCTTTACAGTAAGTAGCTTCCGAATCATAGCAGTCCTATGAGTGAATGACCTCCAAAGGCCATGACTTCTTTCAACTGAGTTAATCCACTTTATATACAGTCTTTCTCTTTTCCTGCTACATGCAGTGCTTCCCAGTGAGTCTACTCTTCTCATGATGTGCCCAAAGTATGATAGCCCCGATGTAGTCATTTTTCCTTCTACAGAAAGCTGCAACTTGATTGAATCTAGCACCCACTTCTTCCTCTTTTTGCAACCCATGGTATCTGCCAAACTCTCCTCCAGCTCTAGATTTCAGCTGAATTGAGACGGCTTTCTCACTTCACGAATACTGCAACGAGGAATACCACATTATGGATCATCTTGGTAGTTAGTGATGCATCCTTACACATTCCTTTCAAATGTAGTACATTCCATTATAGGTAAAGGTAAAGGTTCCCCTTGACATTCTTAGTCTGTTTTCAAGCCGTAGAGCCAGCGCTTGTCCAAAGACAGTTTCCATTGTCATGTGGCCAGCATGACTAGGGAACGCCATTTTACCTTCCCACCGAGGTGGTACCTATTTATCTACTCGCATTTGCATGCTTTCGAACTGCTAGGTTGGCGAGGAGCTGGGACAAAGCGACGGGAGCTCACTCCATCGCATGGATTTGATCTTACAACTGCTGGTCTTCTGACCCTGCAGCACAGGCTTCTGCGGTTTAGCTCACAATACACAGCTGTTATTTAGCATACTCTTTTCCAAGCATAGAATAAAGATACTATAACGTCAGGTCCTGCCTTCCTGAATGCAGTAAGGAAACCCTGACCATCACCTTGTCCCTGGACCTGCTCTTTCCTCACATCCATCTTCTCCACATTGCTTCTGGCATCTCCACTCCTGCCACTTACATTGCTCTCGCATGCCTGCCTCCTGGCACTTGCGCAACCGGCACTCCTGGCACTTTCGGCGCATGTACATGTCCATCTCACATCGGCCACCGTTTTTGCAGACATATTGGGCACCTTTGATGATGCTACGCCGGAAAAAACCCTTACAGCCCTCGCAGCTCAGAACGTTATAGTGGAAGCCAGAGGCCTTGTCTCCACACACGCTGCACACCTCATTTCCAAGCATCTTGGGGGCCGGCCCCTTCTTTCGTTTCTGGGGAGGTTTTTCTACGTACATGGAGAAGGATGACAGGAAAATAAAAGAGAAGCCGTGAAATTATATGCGGTGACCAAAGGAAATAGCTTCTTGTGAAAAGGGCGGGATATAAATCAAATCAAATCAATCAATCAATCAATCAATCAATCAATCAATAAAGGGTCACCCTTTCATGCAATAGGATGGAATGCTACATCCCAGACCGGTCAAAGCATATTTTACATCCTTCTTCCTTGAATTAAATTATTCTTATAGTTAGCAAAGCCCTTCTCCCACATTTCTAGATTCTTGGGAATACATTAATAATTCTTGCAGCTAATTTACATATTAGCAAAGGCTAATATTTCTGAAGATTGCACCCCTCCAGAAACAGACTACTGGTCAGAATGTCCTCCCCACTCTAAAACATACCTGTATGTACAAAATTAGGATATTAGAGTGATTTTGAGGACTAGGGGGCATTTCCTGTACAAATAAAGTGGGGTATAGATGATATCACACACCAAGAAATGATTCATATGGAAAGTTTCATATAGAAAGACGTTGTTCTGAATGGTGAGATAGCCAAGCAACGTACAGTACAGTATTTGTTTTCATGGTCTTTCTCTTGGCTAGCCATTAGAGGACAGCATTGCATCTCTCTCTCTCTCTCTCTCTCTCTCTCTCTCTGGTAGGAGCTAAACTATAGTTCAGAGGAGCATTTCCTCCAACGCTGCACCTTACTTTTTAATTCTTTCCTCTTTGATTTCAAATGGTTTTGCAAAGCCTTTCAAACACATATTCAGCAGTAAAATTGGAATGTGTGTCCAGGCCACAAGCAATAAATCCTTTTTCAAATCATTTTCAAATCTCTCAAATCCCCATTGTTTTCTTGATACTAGACACAGAAAACGTATGTTGCTTCAGTAGTTAAGCACTAAACTCCCAATCCACACAATTTACTATTTGCAGGGAACTCTGTTTTGTTCTTGTTTTTAATGTGTGAAGGGAAAAAGAAGATTTAAATGTCCCCTCGCAGTCTGATTGATGGCATTCAGTCTACCATCCTGTTTACTTTCATCTATTGACCAGGTCTTCTTGTGCTGCAAACATGATCCCTGACCGTCTGAAGCAAAGTCTTACCCATATGCTCAGGGGGGATCTCTGAGCTATGGAAAAGTGCAAAGCCTTTATCCTCCGTGTCAAACAGGCTTGTCTTCTCCCCATGGTTCTCTTCCACCATCTGCGTGGGACCCATGGTGGTTGCCCTAGAGGGGCTCATGTTCTTTTCATTTCTAAAGCATGGTCATGACCAGCCTCAATACATATGTATCCAGTGTTATATTAAATCTTTGCAAAATGGAAATACCTGTGGAGGAAAGCAGAAACCTAAGGAAAGAAAACACAATTTTACAATTCACACAACAACACAAGCACAAACTAGCACCTTCTTTGATCCCTCAGAATTGTCACCTCTTATTGGCAATGTGATTCTGAAGTTGATTTCTCTTTCTGTCATCTGATTTCTAAACTCTTCTCTCTCTTTTTTTTTTGCTTTCTTTTTTTTCCTCCATGAGTCTTCCTTTCGTTAATTATTTATTAGGATAATGTATATCCCACCTTTATTTAGAAATATATTGCTTGATAAACTGATAGAAACACATTTTTAAAAATATGTTAAATATAACAAAATCAGCAAAACAAAACATGAAACAATGCAGCAGATACGTAAAGCTTCTGAGCCTGCATGTGAGGCATTTTTTAAAAAGTGCGCATAAGGAGAAGTGTATTCTCCTTACACAGCATAAAGCAGAAAGTGAAAATATAAGCCAAGTCTCCCATGGAAGACAATTTCACCTTGATGGAGGTTTCTAAAATAATATGAAGGCAATGATTTGAAAATAGTCTGCATGACAACTCAGATCAGTGCAAGTTAATTAAAATAAGCCTTGTTGGCTGAAATCCTGTTGCTCTGTATAGTAAATTACACTAGAATAGGCCCACTGAAGCAGTGACAATGTGGTAAGCTAACTCCTTCATACAATTCATTGAGTCAAATGGGTCTACTTTAGTTGTGACTTAGTCAGAACTTACTCACAACTAGGACTTAGTCACAACTTGCTCACAACTAGAGTAGGCCCATTTCACTTAATGGAACTTATGGAGGAGTTGATTCACCCAATTATTCCCACTGATTCAATGGACCTACTCCAGTACAACTTAATATGCAAAACAACAGAATTTTGGCCATTGATTCAAACTGCTAAATTCTTGGTCTGGTTTTACCCACCGAAGCACAATGATCATTTTTGGGGCCTCAGCCACAACATTGCAAGTACACTAACTTTAGATATTAGGTATTGAACATTTTTGTGGAGCTTTTGACAAAATCTTATTTTAAAGAAAGTATGTATACTTCATAAATTGTAAAGAAAACTTTTATAAAAGCACTAGACATAAAAGGTTTGATCTCTGCATCTAAAAACTCTGGTAGCACATTCAGATTTCTGCTGCCATCAACTCAGTAAGTCAGCAATATTACCACAAAGTAACACTGAAGGGCAGTATGTTACAGGAAACAGGGAGGTCAGCCAGACAGCTGGAGCCAAAGAGAAGACTCAGATGCCTGCCTGGCAGAATTTCAAAACTGACATGTCATCAATAGTTCAAGGAAGCCCGGGCAACAGCAAAAGTGAAACCTGAAGCAGAGTGGGCATTTTAATCTAAAATGAACTTCTTATTCAGTTAACACTATGAAGTACTTATAAATCTCTGAGTCTCCTGACACTGCTAAAATTAAGTAATGGCGGGGGAACTGAATAGTTGCATAGTTTTCTCTGTGTAAGGGTGGATCCATACCCAGGGCCTCCACAGGAGAGAGCCTTTGAATGGGGAAATGAATGATAATTTAAGTTTGTTCAGCACAGTGAGGGGGTAACCCTAAGGTATGAGCAAAACGTGCTGAAAAATCTAAGAATCTGGAACAACTTTCTTGACAAAGAAAAATCCAGGAGACATCAGTTGGAAGCAAGCTGAATTTTGGAAGTTACTACAAAAGAAACCAACATCTAGATTAATTTTGGGGGCCTCAGCCACAACATCCCAAGTATGGGATGCTGACAGAATGTAGTGAAAATGATTTCCACAGAGATGGAGAAAAGCAATTGGGAGAATGTTCTCTCAGTATTACAGGAAACTTACAATAATGATACACTTCTAAAAGCACAGCTTCATATGGGGAGGAAATAAAAAGTGGCAACAGCCTCCTTACAGGGAAAACAGGGATTGTGAAATGTCCACTACAGTATTTTGTGGCCTTTTACATTAAAAATGAATACCATTTTAAGGAGCTGATTCTTGAAAGAGAGGAAATGTGCTGAGTGAGGGCTTTTCAAAAATATTCAGTTCTCCCATTTTACCTTTGTGGGTCCACAAGATGCTTCCAGCAGTCAATGCTTAGGTAGGGTCATCTGGCCAAAATTTCCAAAATGAGGGATATTCCAGAGCTATGATATCTGAAACAAAAGATAGCAATTGTGTTCAGGAAAACTGAAACAAAACAAAAGGGAAAAAAAAGTAACAAAGAACTAATCCTAAAACCAGGCATACATTGCAATCCTCTGTCTGACTCACTTGTAGCATAATGTTTTCCCAAAGCAGGGATGTTCTGAGCATGTTGTTGGCAAATCTAAGGACAGTTGGCATTGAGCCCATGTGGGCAGTAGTTACTGTAAATGAAAAACCTGTATAAGCTGTACATATTTACAGCCATGATGACATTCGAGTGCCTATTGGTAGAGGAATAAAGAAGAGAACGCTGTCTTTCTCAGGTTCAAAAACTGGATATATGGGGATGAAAAGGCAATGCCAACTGTATAAAGCAAAATCCAAATATAAACAATTAACATAATTCTTTGACAACAAAAACTAAGTCAGAGAGACCAATTTTTCCATATCAGCAATAAAAATAGTCCAGCATTTTCCTATAATCCACTTTAGAGAAATACTTTCATTAGGATACCAGATGTAGAACAGTATAAAACGTCCAACCTGCCCAGAATTCTTTATCAGGTAAGGTAATAAAATGGGATGCAGAGCAGGGAGGTTCAATGTTCAAGCAACCGTTCAAGACTCTTCTTGCACTACTCAAAAAAAATAACTAGAAAGAAATTAACTAGAAAGAAATTAACGTTTAAGTAGAACACCATAACATTTTTCCCTTGTGTTTCGAACTTACGGTTCTCAGAATACGGTGAAATGATCAGTAACTTATTTTTTGTAAATTAAATCAGAACAAGTCAGAACAATTGTTGCAGTTTAATGCAAGTATTTTATTCTAACTTATCAATACCTTTTGCCAACAAAAACAAAAATAAACACAATGGCTACTCTCCAAAAGATTGCAAAACGTTTCAAGCCATTATTTTCACCCATTGAATACCACCCAATACAGCCAGCCAGAGACTGGGGAAAAAATATGGTTATGGAGTATAACTTCTGAAATCTCACAGACAACCATTGCTAGCTTGGGAATTCTGGGAGCTGTAGTCCAAAAACATAACTTGCACAAGCAACCAGATCATACAAGCATCTGTTCTTACTAAGGAATAGATGTCAGCTGAAAACCCTTGCACATCCTGCAATGGGTTTGGACTTATTCTGGAGACTCAGCCCGTCACAACAAAATAATCAGTACAGACACATAATCCCCCTCCACCTTCCCCAGTCCACCCTGCTGTTCCAATGGCTCCTTAGCCTCTACTTTCCCACTCTCCCACCTGCCGGGGCACAATCAAGCTCCAATCTGCTTCAGTATCCAAAAGGTATTCTCCTCAACGGTAATAGTTGGGGAGAAAAGGCAGCTCCTTGCTGAAAACATTACTGGAGACCAATGGGACAATGGTAAGATCCAGGTATGAAAAACAGAGGATCAGCCACAGAATTCCCTTATTTTACTGTAGTTCAAAAATACTAGAAGTACCTCTAAAACAGAAAACTTGATTGTGCACTGCCTTGCCAGCTGTAATTAGCAGTAGTCCAAAAGGCAATGAGAGAGAGAGAGAGAGAGAGAGAGAGAGAGAGGGTGTTAGGCAAACCTTCCCCACGGAACTACAACTAGAATTGAACTGCATAGCCCACGGGGAAGCAAATGTAGGTGAAAGGCTGAGGAAGCATATTATTCCTTGGGTTGTGGTCACGTTGATGTCACAGATGAGGCACCAAGTACTTCCAAGATACATTGGCATTGACTCCTCCCTTCTGCCAGGAAGCTGCCAACAGCTCGGGAGAGCAAAGGTCCCACGTTCAATTCTTTGGATACAATGAGTTATTCTCCACACAAATCAAATAAATCAAGCTGCTTTATTCCACATTCTCCATTCAGATTCCCAACTACCAAGTGGTACTTTCCACTTTGTGCTCCACACTCACAGTTGCTGCCCAGAATTAAAATTTCTGTCCTTCCCTCATATAGCCAGGGTTTTATCTTTACTCTCACATTTTGCTTTTTTAAAGGGCCAAAATCTTCTTCATTTCTTTTCTTTTTTTAACTGGAAAGGATCTGGAAGAAGCTGCTGTTTTGAAGGTGTTCTTCATTTGAGGACCTTTCCCATCCAAGCAAAGCAAAAGTTGGGAACATAAGAACATAAGAGCCCTGCTGGATCAGGCCAGGGGCCCATCTAGTCCAGGTTCATGTCTCTCATAGCAGCCCCACCAGATGCCTCTGGGAACACAGGAGACCACTAGATAGCTGTCTCCTGATATCCCTCCCCTGCATCTGGCATTTGGAGGCAACTTTCTTCTAAGCCTGGAGATTATACATGCCCATCATGGCTTGTAACCTGTGATGGACTTTTCCTCCAGAAATCTGTCCAATCCCCTTTTAAAGGCATCTAGGCCAGATGCCATCACCACATCCTGTGGCAAGGAGTTCCACAGACTAACAACACACCGGGTAAATAAATATTTCCTTTTGTCTGTTCAGGGACCTTGAAGATGTTAATCCCCAGTAAGCATCTGTACATATGTAAATCAATATATGCCCTATTTTGTCCTCCTTTTTCATGATGTATATTGTCTTTATTATTTGTGCCCACCGGAGTAAGGCAGTAGTGAATCTCCCCACATGTTAAACCTTGTCACCCAACACTCCTGTTCCTGCATCATTTTCATCTGATCCCTCATGTTTGAAATCCTCCAGAGATTATCTAAGCAATCATAAAAAGATTCTGTTGAATTCTGAGTTTTTGCCATCCAGAAGAAAGACTGCCTGATCCAACTATGAGTGCGATCAGATGACTAGAAAGGTGTGTGCCTAATCACACTTGAAAGGGTTTCTTAAAGGGAGCGAAACCCCTTAAAGTGATCTTACCATCTGCTGGGGAACTGCTCCACCCTGGCCCCCAAAACGTAGAAGTCCTGCAGATGGACTAAAAAGATCCAGCCTGGGCACTGATCAGAGTCAGGCTGGAGGACATCTCCCATGTGTCATGTGATCTCCAGGAAACAGATCACGCTGGACCATTCCACAAACCGTCCAAATTGCAATCAACGGTATTTCCTCATGCGATCACACCCTAATTCTAAAGCTCAAAACTAATCGCACAAGACTCCTCTCCAATTCAAGCACTGACTGTATACTGTAGATTCAGACAGCAAATCAGTGGTTAATTAATGGGCAGATTTTAACTATAGAGGACAATATCCTTTTTTTAAAAAAAAATATTTTCCCACTGCAACCCATGACAAAGAGCAGCTCATGATCCAAGAGGGGAACTTACTATTTCACCAGTAAACTGCCCAGCGTTGCACGTGCACCATCCCTTTGTAGAACAAAACCTTCACATAGGTAAAACACCTTCCAAATCATTGTGGTTAGAAAAAGTAGAAGCTCCAAGTAGCTAGAGAAAAAAATGTCCAGATTGGAAGGGGAAAAAATGATATATTGGTTCACATTGACCTTTACATCATGGGTCACTGAAAATCCTTCACATTTACCCATGCCAATTCTGGACCAAATTGTGAAATATTTTCCAACGAAGCCACATGCTGAGATACCTATTAAATTAGAACTGCTCAGTTTTGAAACAAGCCTCCTACAAGTCACTGAAGAAGGTGAAGATGAACATTCAGGCGGAAAACCATGAGGCTATGGCTAAGTAAGCACGCACCTCTCTACACAAATCATCTTTGCATATAGCAGGTTGGAGTTATCTTTGACTTTTGACTTGGGCCAATTCCTCTTATTTTGTGCCAACCAGCACAATTGTTTTTACAAGCTTCCTAAAAATGCTTCCTCACTTCCTCTGAGAGTTTGCTAGAGGGAAACTAAATGTTCTCACAGTGCAATCCCTTAGCTGTTCCTCTTGATCTCCCCAGTACCCTTTTTCCCAGGCGCCTTTGAGACTCGTCTGACTTGTGATCCTCTCACTCATCAAAAGTAGGTAGCAATATGCTTCCCACCCCTTCCCTTTCTGACCTAAAGGGAAGAGTCGAAAGATTCTGGGGGAAATAGCAAACAAAATCTTCCAGTAATAAACAACTTATGTGTGTTTCAGAACACCAAGTTGTACAACAGCATGATTTCCACAGAATATCTCCTCATCCTTAGTCACCCTCCAGTCTCTATCACTTGACTGAGAGGTTTTGCTCATATGACACTGAGTGCCACTAAGAGAGTCTCTGTGTGACATTGTGATTGGAGTGCTGGTCTAATCCTGTATGTACTTTCTGCACTTCATTCCCTTTGACCTCACTATTTCCAATGTCACCACCTACATCCACAAACGAAACATCTCTATCAGAAGAAAGGCAGGGGATTAATATAAAAATCGAATCACTGAATTATGTACATATATGTAGATGGGCATACACACATATGCTTGTATTCTTATAAAATCAATGAATAAAATATATATACATTCTCGTATATTTCATATATGAAATGAATTATATATTCATATTTATGCAAAATGTATAAAAGCAATTGAGAATAATAATTCTCTTGGCACGTCTGTACACTGAATAATAATAGTTCACTATAATAATAGTGAATTCGTTCATAGGCTTCTGTACACTTTTGCAATCCTGCATGTTATATTTTACTAACATTTCTTCTATCTTTACTTTCTGACTTAAGACATAACCACTATCTCTTTTTTTCTGAATTTGAACCCCAAAATAATTCTGTATCTGTCTCAGGTTTGGAAATTATCCTTGACAGGTTCAAGCCTCTCCTGACATGGACAGTTTATGCCATCCTAAATTGTTTCATCCATAAAGTGTCACACTTCTTTTCTTTCTTTCTTTCTTTCTTTCTTTCTTTCTTTCTTTCTTTCTTTCTTTCTTTCTTTGATTTATTTATTTATTTATTTATTTAT